CTAAGAATTTTTAAATAATTTAATTATTATATATTAATATTTATGAATAATTGATATTTATTTATAATTAATGGTTAATAATTATTAACAATTAATACCTATTTATAATTAATATTAATCGGAGTTTTAATTGGAAAAAGTGTCAAAAAGCTCATCATAAGCTACTCCAAGTAGCTTAATAGGCTAGCTTATATGCTAACTTATAAGATAGCTTATGTTTGTCAAACAATGCCTAAAAGGTATAAATGAGAATATTTATATATCCTTATTTGACCTTTATTTTATGTATAGTACCTTCTTTATTTTATTCGTATCTTCAAAGCATATTGAATCGGAAAGTAAAAAGTTTAAAACTTTGTATTACATATCCGGTCCAACAGTATGTGGGTGTTTTGGGTTGAATTGTACGAGATGAAAGTCTCATATACGGTTCTCGGCGGGGAGATCACGCCTATCTCGATAAAGTCCATGATTTTTTATTAACCTGGATATCCAACCCGCTATGCCAGCCGACTAATCCTAGGGCGACCACCTGCTTTGCAGAAAGCCCGGAGTCACCGCATTTGAACCTCCGTGGCCACAAGGAGATTTTTATTCCTTCTTGGATTTGAACATGAGAATTGCAATAGCACATTGAAGCTTAAATTTGAGTTTGATGGTTAAAAATGGTAAAACACAAAACCATAGCTATAAATTGTTGAAAATTGGATTTGATTATTAGTCTTTTGTAACTACAATTATTTTTTATTTTTTATTATCGTTGAAAAAAATATGCATCCGCCTGTGATCATGTTTGTTTGATTAATGCTTAATTAAACAACGGGTTAGGCATCTACATCTATAGATGCATTCATTTGATCCATGGATTATAGGGATTAAGAACTCGTGACTTTTGGTACCCGATAAGATCACGTGTTATATGTACTCTTCTTCTCGTGGATAATTAAAGATGTTTAAATCATATGAAATTTTATGCCCAGTCTTGAGATTTGGAACGTCATGTGTTACATGAGGGTTGGAAATGGTTAGAATCGCCTATAACTACAAGTATTGACTATTTAGGACTTATTAAGTTTATCGATTAGTTAAATATATTTGTTTAATATCAAATATGGATTCTAAGAGCCATTAACAATACTTTTTAAACTAAATGGTCATTGGTCTAGCAGTATTCAAGTCATGAGTAGATAACAAACTTTATTAAGTAAAGGGTTCAAATTTCACCTAAGGAGAAAAAAGTGTGTGGTTAGTTGTTATATATATATAGAGAGAGAGAGAGAGAGAGAGAGAGAGAGAGAGTTGGAGGATCAAACGAGAACATGGTGAAAATAAGAGAATAAGAAGACGACCAAATCACATGTGAATCATATGTGATTTTACACTTGATTATAGTGTAAGATCATATGTGATTCGATTGTTTTCATATTCTCTTCACTTTCTTTCTCTATCTCTCTCTCTCTCTCTCTCTATATATATATAATGTTAAATATAAGGAAGGTTTAAGCGCGAATGCGAGAATACCTTTTTACTATAGACAATCACATGTGTATTATTATTCCATCACATATGATACACATGTGATACTAAATCATAGAAGCGAACAACTTTTGGCACGATCTAGGTTGTGGGCCAAATCACCCTTACACCCATAAGCCCCTCACATGTATTATCACTTGTGATAAAGGCGTTATTGATGTGATACTATAATACACCAAGACCATCATATGTAATACTAAATCATAGACGCGAGCGACCTTTAACGCGACCTAAGTCTCAGGGTACGACATCCTAACACCACCAAGTCCCTTCACGTGTATTATCATATGTGATAAGAGTGTTCTCACGTTCTCATAAAATAAAGGTGTTATCGTTTGAACCTCCACTTATATATATACACACACACGCACACACGAGGGATCGTGTGAGATTAATAGTTATAGTGAGAATGATAAGAACGCTTTTGAGCTTTTGGATGAGTTGACTTTTTAATCTAAATTATTTTTGCTTTAACTAGTTTCAGTACATTCATCTAACTTCTATTACATTCAGCTACATTTATATACCTTTATCTTCACTTTTAAGTCATTTTTAGATACATTTAATCTCTTTCACATCCATTAATTTGTTAAAGTTTCGGTCATGATAATAAAATAGGTAAATAAAAATCACAAGGGTGGTGCCTGATTGGTTTGAGTTTGGCTCCAAAGATCAAAAGTAACAGAAGGTCCCAGGTTCAAATTCAAGGAGGAATAGAAATCCTCTTGTGGTCTCGAAGGTTCAAATGCGGTGACTCCGGGCTATCTGCAAAGCAGGTGGTCACTCTGAGATTAGTTGGCTCGCATAGCGGATTGGATATCCAGATTAATAAAAAAAATAGGTAAATAAATGTAGTTGAATGGATATTAATGTTTTGTTTTCACATTTCCATCATAACTCTTATTCTCATCAGAATCCAACCCTATATATATATATATAAATACTACTTCAAAAAAACATTGGGAAGATTCTATCAATTTACATTATTTATTGTTGTTTACTCTTTTACGTGTTTAGCATACCAATTTTTCACGAACAAAGCAACAAACAAGATGAGATTTAAAACCAATATTGAAAAAATACTGAAATTGTTGATATTTTGAGACTAAGAAAGACTGATTCTGGGGTTAAACTATAACAACTGTTTTTGTTGGGGTTCAAATTAAAACACACATAAAAATGAGGGGTTATTTATGTTATTTTATACTTTTATGTTGTTTCTTTCCACAAACCCGTTCCATCTCCGTGGACCCATCCACCATCAGATTGTAAAGAGAAGTGACGCCGACGAAGTCCCATTTCTAAATCCCAAAAAGTCACCGAAGTCGGCTTCGAGATCTGATTCCGATGATGTTTTCCAAGCCAATATCAGTTACGCATGCTTACTGAATT